CTGATGAGCTCCGTGGATCCAGACGCAAAGTTCTGGATTGGTCTGAACGACAAGCACATTGAGGGGGAATGGCTGTGGGAAGATGGAACTCCACACGATCCTAATGTCGACTGGGGTCACTGGGGTGTGAGGGAACCCAACAACCAAGGAGGGGAAGACTGTGCCATCCGCCGTAGTACAGACTGGAATGACGTGGCCTGCAGTGTTTATCGAANCATAACATTGAGTCATGGTTCAAACAAACATTGTCTTATCTATTGCATAGCGCGCGCAATTCTTAGGGGGGAAATGTCGAAAAATTATGTATCAAAAATGAGCATTTTTAGTTGATTCAGAACCAGAATCTTTTTTTTTTTTTTTGCAAATCAGAAAAAAAATGAAGAGGCGAATCCGAGAACCAACAAATTAAAATATTCAGATCTCTTGATACAGATTCAGATCTCTTGAACCGGTACAAGTTAAAATTTTCTGTCCAAAACGTCACTGTAATACTTTGTCCTTGGGGTGTCCTTGGTTTACAGAGCTACTGGTACAATTTTTACATCTGAGCATTAGTTATTGTTTCATAGATTATTCAAGATTTGAGTTTATGAGCAGGCAGGTCTTTTGAAAGACGCTTATTGCTCATTTGTCCAGACCATTTGTTTTATCATCAGATGCAACCATGGCGACGCCCACCATAACAGAATATAGACGAAAAAAGACATGATGACCAGAGAAACGTATTTTAATCATTTAATAAACGTATTCTAAAAATTCGAAAAATGATTCAATGATTCAAAAATGATTCAATGATGTATCCAAAATACATCATTGAATCATTTTTCGACATTTCCCCCCCAAGAATTGCGCGCGCTATGCAATAGATAAGACAATGTTTGTTTGAACCATGACTCAATGTTATGAAACACAAAAAGGGTGAGAAGCGACCAAAGCTGGCAGACGTTTTGTTTTAACATTTACGCGCAGTTTTCTAATATACATGAAGCTACCACATCGGGTTCTGAAAACAAGACGAGAGGGGCCGGGGGGGGGGGTCAGTGGAGGCTACATGAGAACCCCTTATGGATGAAGTCGCCATTATAGGAGTGAACTAAAATTACGGTTTTGATCGATGATCGATTGAAAACCCTATCCTACATCTCTCTCGACCCTTTACCGTTTGTATCACCCCTCAGAAAAGTGACAATATGCTACGGAAGATGACTCATGTCCCGGCAAAATAATATTAACTTATCGTCCCATATTTCACTGCATTCAATTTAGGCTCCCCACAACTTTCTGCCTATGACTTGTTTATTAACATAAGTATTTTGTAAGCTGCTCTGTTTTGGGCTTGCTTTCGAATTGAGTACAGTAGAATGACTGCAAGAGGTGGGAACTTAGACTTGCATGAAGTTAACATTGAAGTTTTCAACTGAAGAATAAAACGCAGTCTGTGGTTTGTTTAAGTGCGAAAATGGTAGCCTGGGTGCCATCAAATTTTCGGGGTTACCGTTACAAATCGGATGGCACCCATGGATCACCTGATACAAAGTCAACGTTTATTGCACAACGATTGTCACGGGTACAATGTATGGCAAATAATAAAGTTACTAGTTGGTATGTGTCTAACATAATGCTATATATATGGTCAACGGACATTGTATCTAACAGAATATTATGAATAACTACTGGCTAGAGAATATTTTGACTCTACATGTACATTCTACATTATGCTAAACTATACACATGAAGGGTACAGTGAACAGTTGTACCTAATTATACTAAACATGTTCTATGGCTACTAAACAGAGTGTATACTAAGTTACTTGCCAGGAATGTTAAGATTCTACATACAAATGCTACGAAACGCTATACTATATACATGTAGTTGATAAAAATTCAGTGACTCTACTTATACAGCTATACTAAGATGTCTTTTTTGCATGGCATTATAAATACGAAAAATAAATACATAAACAAGTACTGTAGATAAAATCGTCTTACCTGCAGCTGATGCTTGACAGCAGACACCGAGCAAAGTGCACGCCAGTATGGTAATACTGATCCAACGCATGAACATCTTCGATTTTGTTTAATCTACTTCAAGTGTGTTGTTGAGACAACGTCCGCTTCTCTTCAGAAAAACGCGCCTTTCTGAGTGATCATTGCAATAGAGCTTCTACATTGCGCAAGCGCAAAGCTTTCATATTACCGAAATTAAAAATTTTACATCCGAATCGCCCGACCGTTTTACGACTGAAGGACGACCAAGAGAAGTATTGAAAACCGTAGAAAAAAGGTTCTTTCGTATTACTTATGACATTATATTTTTCATTCATGTGGCTATCACGGAAAATATCATAAATACCGCGTACAAATAATTGCAAAAAATGTGGACTTAAGTATGAAGGAAGAAAATGGGGGACTGAAAAAAAAAACAAAAGAGGAAGAAGAATGTATGAAGAAGTGAATAAAAGACTCAAGAAAACTTGATTGTTCAGGCTTCGTATGCTGGTAATGTTACAAGCGCATAGAACCAGAAATGCATGGAAAAGCAGGATTTATACTGGGAACGAATTATGATACGTTTAATAAATACTAGGTTCGTGACATGCATGCACGAAAATGTGTCCTTTAGGTCCATTCAAGTATACGGTTTCTGTAGGCAACAGTGGTCCACACCCAAAATGTTTTGTGGAGTAATACAAGTGAACATTCATTGAAACAGCTGTATCTATACTCATTTTGCTTTACAATTCAACAAATGATTCAAAACAACCGAAGAAGCTTCTTGAAGCTTTCTACACAAGAAATAAAAAAAATCCAAAAGCATAGATACAAATGCGCCACAAAAGCCTCAATTTCTACTGCCAGCGAATTGTGAAAAGTTGCAGAAATACAATATTATGTGTATGAAGAGGTGTCCTTTTGGTCTATTCGAGCGAATAATCGTGTTCTAGGCAACAGTGCACCTAACGAGCCGAGTTGAGTTGAGCCACACCAAAGCCGTAAAACTATGCAGAAATGATCATGTAATGGACCGGTAAAATGTAACACAGCTCAAGGTCTTGCCTAGCTGTTTGGAAACAAAGGATATAGGACTTCAAACACTTCATGTACATGTACATGTACTTGTTTTCCTTCAGAATCGGATTTTATGGATAGGCAGCAAAGTTTGCATCTGTGAATTACAACTCTAAGGCCACACCAAGTTGATTTGTTGGTTCTCGATCGGATTTTTCAGAAAAAAATATGAGGCAACAAGGAGAAAAAATAAAAGGTATTCTATGATAGCCCCAAATGCTATGATAGGAGACATGAAGTCAAGATTCCCCGCTGGTTTGTAATTCGAACAATGAATTTCAAACTTTTAATCAAACCACTGCATTGATAGATGGAAATACTATTTATATATAATAACAACTCTGAAGAGAAGAGACTTCCTTCAACTGTTTGGGCCAAAATATGAGCATTTGGGAGCATGAAATTCAGAGCATGAATTTTTTGGTGTGGCCTAAACGGTTAATAGTTGACCAACTTAACTTTTGACAAAACTTAAACTATCATAAATAACAAGTCTGAAACTCTTACTTCAGCCCTGGACATTTTTATATAAAACACCATACACGGGTTTTAACCAAGTTAGCAGGAAAAACATTAATTTAGATATTTTGTAAATTTTACAAAATATCTGAAATACAAAATTAATGTACCATTGAAGCAATATTGAAACATGAATACAAATTTAAAGATTATACGACTTTAAGTGGCAGTATTTAACAAAATATTGTCCAAAATAATAAAAAATTCATTCTCAGTTAAATATGAAAGTAAGAAAAACATTAGAATTATGACTTATTCTCCCTTTTCCTGACACAATTTTATGAAAATTGTTATTTATGATATTTGCTGGCTAGTGTAACATAAGTTCTACTTACATGTAGTTCCCTGCAGAAATTGAAGTGGGTAGTGACATCATCTAAACAACATAGACTTTCACATACATGCTTATGAATTATTATAACAATCATGCATGTGTTGCTATGCTCTGGTGGCAAAGTATATGACTGTATAAACATGTACATGAAACTGACACATAGTTGCTTCAAGAACTAATTGCATGAGGTATTACACTTTAAAAGTATAAATTTTTGATAAAGGCAAATTTTTTTATAATTCTGCCACAACCCATTTTAAAAAACACCACCTTATGTCATATGAAAAAACAGAAAATGATGTCATTGAAAATTTACAATTATTTTAAGGTGGCTTAAAATAGTACATTATCATCACTAGAAATGAAATTTTGTCTCATTTTTGATATCTTAATTCTGTAATAAATGTCTTATGTCATGTTTGTCAAGAAATTCAGAATTCATAATTCTAAATGTGGTCAAGCCTTTTCACACAATATTTGTTACCATACCAGATCATATCATGTGTTATAATTATAATTAACAAACCAGAGAAATAACCTGATGTTTTTATACAATGTCATCATGTCTTATGTTTACCCAAATCTCATTATGTACACCATTACAAAGCTAACTACTTAATGTATAATATGTAATATATCTAAGCCTGAAAAATCTTAAATTCCAATGCAACTTCCCTGTTTATTTAGTACGTACTGTTGTTGACAGCTAAATGAAGATTCAAAAGTAAGAAAAACTAAAATGGAAAAGAAACTGCATGTATTGTGCACAACTGACGTCATGTGTGTCTTGAAGGACCACAGGAAGAATAGCTACATTTGTTGTAAGCTAAATGTGGATCCCAATAAAGTCAAAGTCAACTGTTCTACAGAACCATGTATTTATATTACACTGTGCGAATTCTCAAATGCAAGAATGAATGTAAGAATTGCTGTTTTATGCTGTAAGATAACTTGGGACATTTTTCTAAGGAACTGCTCTGCTCTACTTGGAGCTCTCAATTAGACTGACTCTAAGATTATTTTATCATCAAAAAATTCTGAAAAGAAAATATTCGGTCAGTCTTTTTTTTTCTTAAATTTGAAAATTGATCACATAAAACCACATAACATAGTATATTGGGCTCAGTATGAAACATATTGCATCAAAACTTTTGCAGAAAAAAAACCAGCATGCCCAATTGTAGTAACTAGCTTAATTTTGTACAGTTCCAAAAGCTGCGATTTATTGGTAGCTTCAGCACCAATTAGAAGGTGTGTTACATAAGCTTGCCTGGACCAATCACATTGGTAGTTACATGTAAGTGTCTACTTGTCCAATAGTAAACATTCTTGCATTGAATGGCTTATAAAAGAATCTTCTATTCTATCACATGGTTACACCTAAAATGCATGCCAGACCAATCAAAAAGGAATGTCTCTGTCAGTCTACCAATCAGATTTGTTCTTACATACTAGTATTGTCTTATGTACAGTTGGTCACATGATATTACCACAAAAACAATGTGCTACAATGATAGAGAACCAATCAGAGAAACAGTATTTACCAAAATAACAGAGAAATAACCATATCAGGTCCAGATGTTTTCTTCATTAATTCTTCTCTTGCTAGTATCACAAACATACACATGTTGCTTCTGTCTTTGAAGAAGATGTTGTTCTAAAAACAGTATGAATTTGTTCTACAAGCTGTAATCTAGTCTCTACTGGAAAAGAACAAATCTTAACACCTCCAATGACCTGAAAAACCCCTAACAGTTTTCAAGCAGTTAATATACAAACTGCATTGTAATTCTGTAATCAGTGGAATGATTAAAATAGCAGATACAACTTTACACAGGGGATGTCCCTATACTTGTAGTCTTAAGTAAAAATACATACTAGCTAGTGAAAGTTGCCCATTAAATACAATGTTGGTACTATTTACAATGAAAGATTTGCAGTTGGTAAAATGCTGTAACAACAGTTGTTGACTTGAAGGTCCACCTGTGTTGTTAGAATTCATTCCCAAGAAGCAAGATTTAAACTGGAATCTCCAGCACAACGTGGAATTTATTTGTGGCTTACCCTAAGATTTGACAGAGACCGCACAACTCTTAGTTCAGGAATGTGCAATCCACCATTTTGAAGACAATTTGTGTCTTAATTTGGCATTAATAAGGATCTACATCAGATGTACAAATGTAGTGTGAACCTATAAACCAAGAACAAGAAGGCCTTAGGCAAGGCAAAAACGCTTGGTCATAGATTGAAACTAAATCCTTGTGATTCTCCTATAGTTCTACCCTGAGATCAAGGTTTGTGTGGGAAATTTCTTAATTTTATGCAGAAAAAGCACACCACTTAGTTGATCATAAGTTGTAAGTGACATCATAGAAGCAATAAAGACTGCTACTGAATAGCAAAGTCCTTTCATTCACAACCACTTGTTTATCACTAGCCGACCTTTTGATGGCCCTTTGCCATCTTCACCAGGGCTATATTGACTTGTTCTCTGTGCACTGAAGCCCTGATAAAGATTGCAGACAGTCATAGAATGGTTGGCACCACTTCTTGTTAAACAAGTGGTTGTGAATAGAAGAATTACTAGTTCAATCATTCACCAGGTTGGCCAACCTGATGAAATTATTTACAAAAGACTATCACTGTTCTGATGTAATTTGTCTTGAACCTTCTCCATTGTGCTAGAAACGACAGTTTAAGTCCTACCTCAGGACAACAGTTGTTGTACTGTGTGCAGTGGACAACATCATGAACAAGTGCCATGCTTCTACTCATACAGAACTACTGCTGACTTTTGCTATTCGGCCACCCCGGCATGGTATGTTCGGATGATGTCCTTGATTTTCGAGCGGCACATGGGGCAGTTGGCCTGGGCGTCCAGCACGGCCTGCCCACACTCGAAACACATGCACATGTGCCCGCAGTCGTACACCACCGAGTCCACCTTCTTGTCCATGCAGATGAGGCAGAGCACCCTGTCTGCAGACTTGGGCGGCTTGTCGGCTACGGGCTGGTCTGCCTGCTGGGGGGCAGAACTGGCGGAGGTGGGGGCTGTTCCTGTAAAAGGAACAAGTTTGGCATAGATAAATCATAAAATCTAATTTAACATCCGTGTCCGTAATATCACCAGGGTCCATAATATCGCCACCTTGAGAAACAGTGTGCTTTAAGATATTTTTACTGCAACATACTTCTGGTATGCACTCCTTCACACCTCAAATGTACATACCTAGGGTATGTTGCAGTAAAAATATCTTTAAGCACACTGTTTCTCAAGGTGGCGATATTATGGACCCTCACCAGGTGATATTATGGACACTAAAATTTGAAGAAAAGGGACTTGATTCATAGTATACAAGCAGAAAGTTTCTTGTATTAAGGGATAGAATACTGGCTGAAATTGGAGTTGTACCTGAAAAGGAACAAGGTTAGAAAATTCCCAAGATGGAAATTGTCAATCTTAATGCAGCTGAAAAGGAAAGAGGCCATAGGTTTTACTGGACAGGTATTAAAATCAACTTAGTTTAGCAGAAAGTGTATGTCCTGGTATCAATAATGGCAGAAGTATTTAGAGTGGGATCTGTACCTGAAAACAATATCAAAATAGACTTACTATAATATTTCATGTAATAACAAATAACAGAAGACCAGATGGAAACAAGCAGTATCCAATAGGTACTTTGTACAATATCCTTTCAATCTATAGCCAAAAGTAAATATATTTTCAGCCTGAAGAAAAAATAACACAGTAAAGCATGAGAATAACGCATCAAGGATTCAATTTTCTCTCAGAAAAATAGACTTGCATTACTGTATGTTTGTTCTCACCTGACTCACCTGATGTAGTACCAGGTGAGACGACCGTGTTGTCTGCCCCTGTGGCATCAGCCAGGGCGTAGACTGGCGGCTCCTCACCAAACACAATCCTCATCACCTGGATCAGACTGAACAAGTCACTGTTTGCCTGGAATAGTGACAAAAACAAGATCTATTTAATGTAGTACAGAAAAACCTCACAAAGAACCCATTACACCTTTTGAAAAAGAGTAGGGGCATGATCCGGTTTGTGATCGGCAAATTCTACAGTCAGGAGTTGGTGATTCACTTCAAATCACCTGGACACAAGCTTGGCAAACCACCATATTAACCTCAAGGTTTGACCTTAAGAATAGCCCTGTGCAAGTAGGGCAGCCTTGGCAGTATCTTCAGCCAAAAGGAATGACAAAAATTGTTGTGAAAGGAACTAAAGTTTCTTTTTATTCACATACATTAATTGCATGAGTATTCGGCAAAAAGCACAGATAGCTTAAATGTGACACCTTCTATCCAATAACATAAAATCAGAAATACGTCGATGAAGGTTAGACATCCAGGTAATACGATACGCCAAAAAGCATTTACTCAAGCAACTGGATATGATTTTGAAAATGTCAGACGTTTCAGCTAGTATCCACTAGCTTTCGTCAGAGACTGAGAGACCAGAGGGGAAAACAGGTTTATAAGCACAACCTATTGATTGATATGCAAATAAAGTGAAGACAAATTTTTTTGGAAGTCGAAAAAGGAACAAAAGTCAGACAAGTCAAGACAAGATGATGCAAATTAGTCTGAAAGCTCAGAAACTATATAAAATCAGAGATATTTATGACAATGCATCTTCAGTCTATGTCAAGAAATGAATCCAAGTTGCATGAACACAGATAAACTTGAGTTCTCAGATTGAAGCTGTTTTTAACATATCTTGACTGTTAGAGTAAGTAATCATAATGTTTGTGGTTCTACCATTGTCTATGCAATCATATGAAAGTTAAATCTCACATTGTGGTCATAACCTCACATCACGGTTAGTCTACGTAATCATAGATAACAAAAAACTACAAAACGATAATTGTTAAAAATCTCACATCTTTCCAGTCGTCCAGGTATGGCAGTTGCACCTTCCCGTTAGCGTTGACGTGTTTACACCTGTCATTGATTCTCATGTTGGCGGTCGGTACGATGTAACAGACGGGCGCTGCGTTAGGATGGTCCTCGAACAGCCAGACCTTGAGGGGGATGTTGTAGGTACTCTCCTTGTAGATTACAGGTACCGTACCCTTCAGACATAGCAACTCTCTCTTGGATGCCCCAGGAGTACCTATTATAGAGAGGTAGAGACAACTTAAATTTAATCCCATTGAAATACCACAGTAACTGTCTTTTTCTTCTTTTCTGCTTATCAAAAAGGTGTGGCCATATACATAATATATGTAGGGGCTGTAGGTTACTCTACTCATAACTGTATCTTGGGCAATTATTGGAAGGCATGAGTCCCCATCCTTTTACCAACCCAAACGAAGATATAGGTAGTACTACCCATTTACACCTTGTCCTCAGAATGAAGAAGATCCTGTAAAATGCCATTCCCAACAACACAGTGTCTGACCCAGGGCTATCAGGAATTGAATCCATGACCTCTCAATGTCTGCTAGCCTACCCACTAGGTAATCAAACTCACTTAATACCTGACACAATTTGTACATGTATGTCACTGTAAAGAAGACAGGAAGCCAGCGGAAATTATCATAAACAGTTGCAAATTTTGCTCAGCCTCTGAATATGTGTCTGAAATTCACTTCAGGAACTATTTATATTATATTATCCAACATTTGAAGGACTAGTATGAAAAACACTTAAATCATGTGAGGAGATGAACACAGGTTTGTTAAGATGACAAAATAAAAAAAACTACCTAAACTTTAAGGCTAAGGAAACCCTGTATTGAAGAGACTTACTGAACACATCCACGTGGACTTTCAGATCCTTGAAGTTGGTGACGGCGTTCCTGACGTCCAGCTGTGTTATCTGCCGGTTGCGGTAAACCTTGTCCGTCAGAATTCTCTCGATCTCGGCGGGGAGGTACGATCCCGGCGGGCACGCGCTTCTCATGAACACGGGAGGCTCCTCGGAAAACACCCGTCTCATGTGCTGAATCAGAACGATCAGATCCGAGTCCTGAAAGTGAAGAAACAGGGCAACATGAGTCACATAAAAGAGAAACAGCTTAAGTAATAATGCATGTCTCATCTGTCATCCATGTTATATTTTATTTGTTTTTATTTATTTTGTTAATAAAGACTTAAGGTACTGTACTAGTAGAAATAGAGGTTCTATGACCTCTACAGAAACCATTCTTTGAATAGTATCAGGCTATTTGGCATGATTGGGTATTAACTGTTTATTACAATTAACCAAAATTTGAATGCATGATTGCATGTAAAAGATTGTAAACGTTCATACCTATCCCATACTAGCCACCAACTTTTAGGTTAAGCATGATCAAAATGTACTTAATCTGTAGTTAGTAGATGCCATACTTTGTACCCTGTACAACTGTTGCGATAAAGTTATCTTTTGGAGAAGAAAAGAAACTATCATCCCCCCCAAACACAATATCTCAAATTACTGACTAGTTCCTGCATGGTTATACAATATGGATAGGGAGCATTCAAACAAGTAGAAGAAGGCAGAAAGGTGAGAACAAGTGGTAAGACATGCACATTGTGTAGTCAGTGATTAGTGGTTGCTAGGAGACAACATCCTGGCTTTGTATCAACAGGTGCAGTTTCAAACAATTCTGCTAGGTGGCAGAGCTGCATTGAGAGGCAAGCAGAACCTGACTCCTTTCTCTACAGCTTAGACTGCATGAAGTACTCTTACCATACAAAACAGGTAAAAGAAGCCAATAATTCAATATTACATTAAAATTTCTACATCAGTGAATGCTTACGCTGGGTAGAATTAGATCTGATGTTACCATTTAATGATACCAGTTGTTATATGTTAATTTTAAAAGTTAACAATTATGATTATTCCATTTTCTGTTTTTATTCTTACATGTCCTGTTCGAGAGGGGCTGCTCCGGGCAGATGGCACACCTGAGGCACTGCTTGACCGTTGAAGTGCCTAAAAAAATATAAGCAATAAACAAAGAAACTCAAAACAAGCAGCAAATTAAAAACAAAAAGTACAGGCAACAAAACTGCATATGATAAAATCATACACTGCAAAACCATCAAACCATCAAACATAATTCTTAAAGTGATTCAAAAGTCAACTCAAACTTCCAAGAAACAGCTTTAAATTCTTTTTTATTCTTGTATTAATTTCTGCATTAGAAATCACACGCTATTATCATATGATTTATGATTAGTCGTTCTCTCTTTCATTCTTACATTTCCTGACCGAGAGGCACTGCTGCGAGCAGCGGGTACACTAGAGGCACTGCTTGACCGATGAAGGGCCTAAAGCGTTAGAAATAAACAGATGAAACTGAAAACAAACAGCAAAGCCAAACAAAAAAAAACTGCCATGACCAGAAACATTTACTTCCTAGGAACAACTTTAAATACTTTCTTTCATGATCAGCCTTTCATGTAACAGCACTGTGTTTTCCCAATGCAAGTGTTCAGTGTTACTATAGTGAGTATAGGATGGGACTCTTTCTAACAACTGACTGGGCCTGCATTATGACGCTTTTATTCATCACTGAGAACAATAAGAGTTGAATCTTGCATTAATATTGTGTAGTACATTTGTAGTTGGAAGAACTTTGGGCCAACATAATACTTCTTGGACCTATCAAATAAACCACAAAATGACTTCAAGGCAAAAACACCTTGAGCATCCAACCCCAGGACACCTTTGCTCTTGTAAGATCACATGAGCATTCATCCACGTGCACAGAGTTTGTTTACAGTGAATGAAAGTGCATGCGATGATGTATTTGCACAACATTTGGATCTTCGTGTATTTGTTTGTGTCCAAAGGAACTTCAGAATGTACTACTAAAGAACTTTGAGGCCGTGTTCTGTGCAAGAGACAGACCGACAAGTAGGTTGAGCTGCAAAAAAAGTGTATCTAAAAGTGGCGACAGACAGCAAAGCTGTGAGCAAGAAGTTTGAAGTTGTTTTCAGTGTCCTGTGTATCTGTGTGAGTACCTGTAGACAGGCTGTGGTACAGGTGTGACATTTCCAGAGTGCCAGGGAGACCCTGACACTGGAATCATCATACTGGTTGGGTCCCTGCTGTTGTGGATGCATGTTAGGTAACACATGTATGGTCAGCACAAGCAGCAGATGGGTTCTAAACCCTTTTTTTTTCTCCATTACATACATGTACCTAAACTAGTGCAGGTAACATTTACTAACTTGCACCACACAGATTTTACTTGCAAAACTCCTTAAGTTTCCTTTTTCTTTCAGTCAATTAGAAATAAGGTTTCAATGAGGGCCTTGTGACATAATAAATCTTGTTACGGTAATATGTTGTATTAGTCGGATGCTACTTTAGGTTAGGTGCAGGTAGACAGCAGAAAAATCTGCACAGCTTCAATTTTACCTCTAGCCTGCACTTGCTACAACTCACCTGCAAATGCACATGATATTTCAATCTCTCCTCAATCTATCAGCAGAGGCAATGTAACTTTAAAAGCAAATTTAGTATTTATTATGTTATAATGTTTTAGAAAGTTTTAAACGCTATTCCTGTCAAAGTCTACAATTTTGTTCAAAAAAAAAAAAATCTTTATACATGTGTAGCATGATGACATAGTTTTACAAAATGCACATGACCTACACTATTCATGTTTTTATCCTTGTTTATGTTTCTGTGCTGATTTTATCTTTGATTGCAAATTTAGGCCTTTTTTGTACTTTCACAATGAAAAACTTATAGTCACCCTCACATGAATTGTGTCTAGAAATTTTCTACCTTTTCACAAATGTTGGTCAGGTACAGGTACTTACATGTGTCCACTCATGGAGATACGGCATGTACACCCTCCCGTTCATGTCCACGTGTTTGGACTCGTTGATAACCATGTTCCCGGTCGGACGAACGTAGACCAGCGGGGGAATCTCCGGATGGAATTCTGTCAGCCAGATACACACCGGAATGTTGTAGGTGTTAGCTAAAAGAGTAGACAAAAAGAATTTGTCAATGAAGGTTAGACATCCAGGTAATGAGATACACAAGGAATTGTTACTGGAGCAACTGGATAGCTTTTGAAAACTGTCACATGCACGCAGATGTCTCAAGTAATGTCCACTACTTTTCGTCAGTGACTAATTAAAAGAATCTGTAGTTGAACAGGTATTTATACAGTTAAACAGATTCTGTTAAACACTTATGAAAAGTACTGTATGCTACTTGAAACTGACAGTTTTCAAGACTCTGTTGCTTGTCTGAATGAGTAACAATTCCTTGGATAGACAAAGAAATGGTTATTTTCTTAGATTAGCAATAATTCCAGAGGCAGAGGATTGTTTTCCAAACTGAAGTGCTCCTTGAGTGTCTTTAGCCGAGTAAATGGAATAGTTTTGACACAACTGTTGATTGCATACACGTATAGCCTGGGTATCATCCTAGTCAGTTTCCTAATATACTCCTCTTGTAGTTTGTAAGCTAGACAAGTGTATTTATTTACTGGTTATGCTGCAAAATAAGAACTGGTGAAGCTAGTTGGGTCTAAAGAGGATTGAGTCAGTGAGTGTTGCAAGAGACATACAGCCAGGTTTACGAAACTAGCCAAAGGCTACTGCACAGAGCTAGCCCTGGGGACAGTAAAAATACAAGACATACAACCAAGCAAAGCATACAACCATACAAAAGCAAGCAAAATTAAACTATGTACTCATGTCTACTCAACAATGAGAAGACAATTGTATAAGTATAAGTGAAGCATATGGAAAATTAACAAGGATAGAACCCACTGGTTAGTGATCATGAGTTTAAGCTTCATACACCAGCAGTGTTTAGTGATCAAAACAAAACACCAAGAGCCTTTAGTGACTACAGTTCTACAGGAAAGGACACAGAAAGGTTGGAAACTTTCCAAAGAGAGTAGAAGACAGAAGAGCAACTTCAGTTAGTTTATAGCGAACCAAACACACACCTCCTGACGCCCCTGCCGATGCACTTTGTCCTCGTAGTTCTAGAGGTGACAAAGGCTGAGGTTACACGAGCAAAACACCTTTTAAATTAGTTAAATCTTTAATATGCTCAATATGGCAGGTTATGGCATTCTTACGAATCAGACTAAATCACCTCTTAGCTGAGAAGCTCAGAACAAACCTATGTGTATCAAACAAACTTAATACAGCAGCCTTTTGGACTTAGTAGGGCTCTCTCTAGCTCAATATTTTGTCTGTCATCTCAGAACAAAACAAGGTCACGGAATCTACAATGTAGAGTGGTCTGGGAGCGAATGCTCCACTATGAAAAATTGTGAACTAATTTTAACTCTTCTAAACACTATTTCCTGTATTTTAAAGGGCAAGTTTCAAATGGGTTCATTTTACATGTATCTTGTGGATATTTTGCAACACTGTTGACAACCTGGTGAACATGTCACAAGGTTTCAACTTTTTCTTCAACAAACAGCATTGGAATCTGTCCCAAACGTACAATATGTGATGTGGAAATTTACCTTTTATCTTGACAGGAATAGTTCCACACAGACACAGTAACTCAGTCTGCGAACCGTCGTTGAAAACTGTGGAAAAAGTTATAAAACATGTTCTGGATTCGACTGCACTTCACAGTATACAATGTATGGCATTGCATAGAAATTGAACATTTCTACTTTTTCCGAATATACTCAATTTAGTAGAATCTTGGCAAAATTTATTATAATACGTAAGTCTTGCTTGCAGCTATTCACCTATTTTAGTTAACATATACTGACAGCTTCATAGACAACCTAGGTCTGCGTTTATTAAGAATGAGTAAATGAAACGTCATAAATGTCACAAAATTTTATACATCTTGTGAGAGTCTATGTAAAGAGTTTTGGGATACTTACCGTACGTGTCTACCACTGGCTTGAGGTCTTCAAAGTGCTTGAGGGTTGACATAACCTCCTTCTGGGTTACATCTTTGTGCTTGTACTGCAGAAGGAATAGAAACTCCATGTTACTTTTTCTAACATAACCTGGTTGCCACATATTGTACCTAATACAACTGTCAAGCAATAAAGTTCTCTAACATGGTTTTAAAAAGGAGTCTGCAGTTTGAACAGGAGATGCTAGGGGGCTGAAATAAACCATTTCTATCAGGGTTTAGGAGATCTATTTCTGAATTCAAGTCTTTCAAATTTTCACAATTCAAAGCACAAATCAATGTGGATAAAACTAACACCTTCTTGGAGCAGCTATCAATCATATCGAGGCATCAGGCAATTCATAATGGCCCTATAGGATTAATATAATGGGAAACTTCCCCAGAGTACGATGATCATAGGACGTTAATGTGATTATATCATGTCTGAAAGAAATAGAATCTGATGTCCCTACATCTAGGACAACATAGCAAACAGATTCTAATTAATAAGTTGACATATTGAACATTACAGGTTGGATACATGTAAAATCAGTGTCCATATAATAATATCACCAGGGTCCATGATATCACCACCTTGAGAAACAGTGTGCTTAAAGATATTTTTACTGTAACATACTTTTGGTATGCAATCCTTCACACATCAAAATGTATATACCTAGGGTATGTTGCAGTAAAAATATCTTTAAGCACACTGTTTCTCAAGGTGGCGATATTATGGACCCTGGTGATATTATGGACATGGATGTTACAAACATCATGTAATAAAAATAAGATACTGCAATCCTCAGAAATGTGACAATTCTCAATCAATAATTTGTCATTTTTGTTACTTATTATAAGTAACAATGGGTATTGGCTCGTGTGAAAAAACTGCTTTTGATTAAATTTTCAGATTTAGATTTGCATTACTTCAAATTCAATCCTCCCAAACAAGTTGTCAAAATTGAATCCTGCTAAATAGAATGAATTTCATTTTTTCATTATACATAATGACTTTCATGTACATTGTGTATATGCTGTAAGTTATAGCTAGTATGATCTGTGATTTCAGCCTATAGAAAAATTAAACTTTATCATGATTATGGTATTCTTATGGTACAAAATGTACCAATATATGAAGTTGTTAACCTTGAAATGTTTCTTGCTTGCTTGTATTAAAAAAAATATCCAAGGCAAACAAATTTAAAGGCCGATTTTTCCTTTGGGAGTCAGGGATGTATACATCATGATTGTGTTCAATTTGCTGTTGCACTAATACACCAAGGTCATTCATTGCCAAGGACACTCTAAGGTTCATGTCAATTGGGAAGTCTCTGTATTTATGAGTGAACGACAAAATTAAATTAAAATAAATTAATTAATTAAAAGAGATAGAAAATAAATTTTATGAATACTTTGAAAAGTTGTCATATTTTCCAAACTAGATATGGCTACAATATGAGTAGAGGTCAGCTGAAAAGGGAAATAAAATATTTTAGTACAATTATACTATCCCTAGATATTTTGTATGTCATTATCTTTCCAAAACTCTAACTACTACAGCATTCCATCCAATACCTTTGCAAAAAGAACATTTGGATTTTCAATATAAATCCTACTGATTCAGAGACTAAGGTATAAAATAACTGTTTAAAGAAAATGACACTGCCAAAAGCATTGCAGGTGTCGAATGACTGACGATCATGACAATATGATGTCATGTTGGGTGAAGGCCATTGAGAATTTATTGTACGTCGGGAATTGATTTTCCAATTCACGACTTAAAGTCTACCTCTAGATTTGTTGCTAAAATGTGAAAAAAAAAGTAGCATTATTCTGTATCAGTTTCATTACTAAGTACTCCTCTATTTGATAATATTTTAGCATTTTGACAGGGGTAATTCAAAGTTTGATGGGTATAATTCAGAAGAAGATGCTACCCAAAGACAAAACCTAACCTTGAGAATCTATATTGAACTTAAAAATTCATAGGTTTCAGTGTTAAAAATTAATGAACTCTATACACAATTGCAGCTGGAGAATGAATACCAGGGGTTCCAATGTCATTTGAGGTAAGGGTGCAAGGTCACACAAATTGACACAATCATGACAATGGCAGTGGGGACTATAGAGAGGGATAAAGAAAGGAGGGATTGTCTTTTGTTTGTCATTCAACTTCAACTTGACAACATATCCTCAGTTAGCTTCCATGGCCAAGTTCACAGGTCAAGGATTAACTTTGCAATTCAGACATCAGAAGGACTTTAAGGACTGAAAATCATTATCTATACCACTAAACAAATTTGTGCTGCAATTAAAATAAGACTTTAAGTGCATTTGAATTTGTGATCAAATCACAGTCTGATTCTACAATCTAATTATAGTTTGTTGGCAGATCTGATATTGTGATATAAGACAATTATCATACATATAATTGATTGTTTTGACTGAATTGAAAACATCCAACTCAAGCAATAAAAAAATGTGTAACTATGCACCCCTTTTTTTAAATACAATATTGAACTTGAGAAATTTCTATATTGTACAAACAGGAGGGAAAGGCGTCATACATCCTATAGAATTCCTCAGGAACAGGAATCAAACCCATGACTTTTATATATACCTAACTTTTGTACCCTTATAAGGTTGAACAGGATCCTGCATGTCACCTTCAGTATGCAAATCATCAGAAGTTGACATCATACTCATAGTTAAGGGTTTTAATGAGTCATCTTTAGAGCTACTGAATCTGATATTAATTAGTATGAGACTATGAGTTGTTCCGAAATATAACGTTATACATGCAGGCAAAAATATTCTGAATCTATATATTTTTACTATGTACAGATTCTGTCAGTTTTTTTATGATGATTGTGTTATGTTACATATATGATATAACTTAAGGTTTATCTTCAACTCTGAGTGTCAATGTAACAAAATTTATATTATCAATGTTATAGCTTTTCCATGTTGACTTATTATTTTCCAAGCTTAACAATTAATAATTTAAAAACAATGATTATTCTATACAATAAATAATATTCTACATGTTTTTATTTTTCCATGTTCATCAAACATCAGAGTTCCAAGTGTTTGTACTATTGAACTTATTTGAAGAGTAAATGTCCAGAACTGCCATTTTGTTTAATTTCCTATAAAAACTTTAGCGTGCCTGTCATCAACAATTCACCAGATAGCTTTAGGGACGCAACACAGCTCCTCGTAGGTCAAAGGTCACTGAAAGGTCACCATGCGATCAGCGCGTGACCTTGGTGTGCTGATGAGAACTACTTGAGTGCTGACCTGGGCACACCGCCCTCCCATCTGTCTATTTCAACCGCAAAAAAAATCAATGTTCCAAACCGTGTTTGTTATAGCATCGATCAGCTTTCCCATAAAATATTTTCTGGAATGGCCGTCTTGTCGCAGACTCAGAACTGAACAAGCTGGTTCAATATAAACCATAAAAGCCCTAAATTAGGTCTAATTTTCAAACATATCAATCTCAGTTTGGTCCATTTTTTAATCTCCATTTAGCACAAAACAATTCCTGACTCGAATTTTTAAGGAAATTAATTGAAGGCATATAGAATGAATACAAATTCTTAATCCTAACCCTGAGGAGGTTTAAGACACTGTCTTAAGGTAGTAGTGAAGGGTTGTGCTCTAAAAATATTACTTGCAGTTACATGTAAGTATTGACCTTGCCCTACCCAAGGTAGTGTAAATTGTTTTTCCAATTTCATGTATCTTTAAGAAGTAAACAGTGCTTATCATTGATTATAAAGATGTTAGAACATTTCCATTTTATATGTTTTCAAAAGCATTTTTTTTCATTTTTTTCTTGATATCTAGATATATGCTGGGTTCTGAATATGTTCATTTTGCCTCAGAATTTTTTTGTTTAGATATGTTCCATAATCATTAAATTAGAAACCTAACAAAAATGCTTCCTTTATATTGTTTTACTTTGTAATACAATCATGCACATGTAACATGATTTATTTGTGTGAGACTTTTAGAGGCTACAAAAAGCACTTTTCCCCACATGATGTTATCTCAGTCCATTTTCCAGTTAGGCCTAGGAAAAAAATGTTGTGTTTCCTGTTTCCCAACCGACCCTAGAAAAACCTGGCGACCCTAGACTTTTTTGGGGGGTGCACCCCTGCAAGGGACATTTTTTTTTCAAGCTGATCAACCTTTTCTATCTCCATGATCTGACACCTGAGTGATAAAATGTTGTTTTCTACACATTGAAAAAAGTGTCCTCATGCAAATTTTACTTTGTTAAACTGTATTGTATAAGTTGGACCCCTACACAGATATCACTGAAGTCTAAAAAAAAAAGGTAATCCCTACCTACCAACCCTAATTTTTTCAGGACTGAAACATGAAACCCAAATTTTTTTTTCCTTGGCCTTACTTTACAGATACTGAAAGACCAATCAATGCTAACTTCAGTAGTAATTCAGCGCCAATTACTGTAAATGTGTTTTAATCCTGTTGAGAATCGGACAACGCAAATTGCTTCTTTACGGTCCTGCGTTTTCCTTGTCGTGTAATTGATCTTAAAAGGTTTGATGTCATTAAGTTTCATCCTATTGTTTTACAACTTGTAATTGACAATAAGGTATAGAATGACCCATTGTAAGAAGGAAGTTTAATTCTTCTGCATTAGAAAACTATTGGAACCATTTGTAAGAGGGCCTGCATGGGGGTAGGAGTGATTCTGAATTACGTTAAATTCTCAGAGCTGATGATAAAGTTTACACTTTGCGGCTAATGTACTATTACAAATTACGTTGATTTTGCGGAGGCTGCCTACGGATTACGAAGAGTAAAAAGGCCTGATTACGCCTTACAAAAAAGGGCATGCAGGCTCCCCTCTAGATCTGCAGTTCGGTCCCTTTGAGGCCTGGGTGCAAAGAGAATTTTAAAGTAGTCGATGACCCATCCAATAACCCATCCTACAGCCAAATAAACTGGGTCACGACCTTTCGGTGGCCCCCAAAACCCATACAACGTCTTTTCTGCAACCAAATGATTATGTGATTATATGACTGATACTTAGCAACTGTCTGAAAACGAATTCAAAGTGTTTTTCCAGTATCAAACAACATTCCTCAAAAATGCTTTATGCTCAGGACGCTAAATAAATTCTTTCTGTCTGTTAATTGTGTACAATGTGTAGTTTGTAATTCTGATCCTTACATGTAACACTGTTACTGACAAGAGGTTGCAAAATTTGCTTACATGATTTTCTGCAATCTTAAAGTTTTCCTGCAACTTGTAGGTGGGTAATTTGAACCCTACGTTCAAACTAAACTGTGTATATGTTTTGGGTGACCTGTCAACGGTTGCTACACTTCCAGATGTGGCCCGTAGGCACTGTGTGTGTACTAAAGGGCTCCAGGGTTGGAAGGTGGTGGTATGTGCGGTATGACAAGTTGTTTTAACAGATTTAATGTCACCCAATTTAAAGAAATTTCTTGAGTAAATGTCAGATGTGCAAAGGTTGGGTGTGACCATAGATTTTGATATCACCAGCTGGCAGCCAGGAACTTGCAAAGTTGATGTCTAATATGTTGAAGGGCAAACTTGTACCGGCTTACAAATACAGATACAGAATGAACTACAGTAATATTTGTGGTACAATATTAACTATGTACTAGGAAAAAAGGAAATTATAAGCTAAAATACGGCGATTATCTGTCACATTGTCAAATAGATAAATTTAAAAATGCCTGTTCTTCCATTTTAAGTCTGTGATTGTCAAGTGTGAAGAAGATTTCAAAATTGTCACAATGGAAACTGTCAAATGACCCCAATTTTGACTCCGACCCCCCAAAAGGACATTATTTTACAGTTTGCACATTGAGAAATAAATGTGGCAAGCCTTAAATGTAAATGATGACATTAAGTAAAAATCTTCACTACATGAAAAGAAATATGATTGAGCACCAATTCAAATTACATCATCCCAATCTTTAAATAACCAAGGCAGACTAACAAATGCACATTTAGACTAATTTGCTGAGACAGTCTAAAATGCATAATTGAATTTCGGATGGTGCACAAAGAGCCTTAATGCTTTTATGACATAAATCCTATCACTTTATCAGTAAAGATGTTGTCTGGGCATTGACATGAAGATACCACAAACGAAAGACACTGGCAATTTTAGAGAGATAACAGCAAAAATTGATGAATCTTTGCAATGGTTTTCCTCACCAAAATTCATAAACCGTTCATATATAATATTATAATATTATACTATTTCACAATGAATCAAAAAGATTGCCAAGATTATCATTATCAATTAACAGGTTGTATAGACTCTCGTGTCTTTAAAGTACTGCATTTCCTAAAACTTTAGTAAAAGTCATTCTACGTTGAAATTCTCTTTTATCAAGCAACTAAAGGCAATTTCTGTGAATATTTAGAGTAGTAATACTATATGGTTCTAACCTTAAAATCATAAATTGTATGAGTGTAAACAATGCTTTTGTCGAAGAAATTATCAAATAATAAGAATACCCTGAACATACGAATCACATCCAGGGTTTGATATACAATCTTAAAGAAGCGGAAGTGTTGAAAATTAAGCTGATTAAGGATAAAACCTACCTTTGCGAGAGCTTTTTTAAGGAATTGCTTCAACTTGGGGGTGGCCATCTTGGATTTCCGCCGTCTGGTTTTTCCAGCGTTGAAACCGTCTCAGTCGCGAACCCTGCCGTTTCTCACGTTGTCAACTGTGCGATGTCATCAAACAAGCGGGAAGATCTCATCACAGGAGCATAGATCTGTGCTAATCACCCATTCTGGGCGAGATTCCAACTCCCGATATTTGGTTAAATGAAGCAAAACACAGCTGCGAAGCCAGGATCCGCCGGATGGCACGTCGCACTCCAAAATTTCGTCGTTTTCCCTTCCTCCAGACAAAATATCGCTTTGGAAACACAATTTATGGAACGTGCGGAGTCCTTGGTGACCTTGAAGGATGCCGGGAACAGCCCTTTCCTCGTAATTTCGGGGGAAAGTTGATAAATAAACGCGCACAGTTGTTGGAAATAATCTAGTCTGGGGGACACGAACAGAGAAAACCCGGAAGTGACCCCATCATGCTCAGCTGAACTAGGACCAGTCTCAAAGTTTCAATATTTTGCTGCAAAATATTAAAATTCTACACACATCCCTTGCAATCGCGCTAACATTACTTATTAGTACTATAATTTACACCCATGAACGGGGTATTAAAAATACTAAAATAGAGCAAACTTTAACTGATAAATTATAGAAATATGGAATTTCTTTTAGCGTGTTACATGCACTGTGCAACGGTCCCTCACGTGCTAACCAATCAGAACACAGGAAGTTACGCCTATGGCGGGAACCACCTGTCCATTTCAACAACAGCACCTGACATAAAAAATCGCCCAGAATTTTGTTTCTCCTTTTGAAAACGTTAGTTAGAGTTTTGAAGGATGTAAAATCACTTCCCTGACACTTTATGACATTGACAATGAGACTATAGGTTTGGTTCCAGTTATATTTTCCTGTATTCCGAGGAGGTTTCCCCCGGAAGTTTAAACAAAAGACCATAAAAGGACCGGCCCTGTTGTCAGTATTGAGTCACTATTCAACGGCCTAACCCCAACGGACGATGAAATCACCACAATTACGTCAGCCCAGTGTAAAATAAAATGTACAGGGAGTTTTTTTTTTTTAAATTACAAAGCTCTTTGCAGTGGGATATGTGGGATAAGGAGGTTTAAAAAATCTAACCGTTAGATTTTAACCTCCTTGGTTGCGTTCATTGAGTGTTAACCGTTATCTCTTGAAAAGCAGATTTTTGGCGGCAAAACCTACAGAGAACAGAAACCTAATGATTTTGCCTCAAAAGATTTGCTTGGAGATTAGGTTGAGTGCATGGGTGTCTCCCTCCCCTTAAAAAAGAAATACGAATCATTCAAATTTCTGAAATTACTAAAGGAACATGATTCTGTATATACATGTAATGCATGGAAATGTGACAAAAAATACAGGTGTCATCACGGAGGTAGACCCTTTTAACTCCATGGTGTCATCAATGCAGATCTAGAAGGCTAATGTCACTGGCGAATACTAGTAGCCACACACGAACGCCACCTAGCAATCTACATCGGTACTGCAGGATATGCTTGTCAAATTTTCAACATTATTCCAGGTTGGTGCATGAGTATGTATGTATGTACAAGCGCCATGGAATTGCAAAGTATTTCAGCAACAAACACTGAACATGTAAATATATGAAAGTTTATTGAAGTAATGGCACATATGGAAAGTTCAAATACTCTTGTGCACAAATTCCCTCCACAACAACCAACATCTGCACAATACAACTATTTTCACATATCATAGTGTATAATGCCACAATGTTGCATGGTTCTACATATCCAATAATATGTAAATATATCCCCTCTTACTACCATTCTACTACAATTGACGTTTTCCCCTAAAACTTTTTTTATATCACCAAGAACTAAGTCCCATAACAATGATTTAACACTTAAAAAAAAGAATTAGGTATCCCAGTATAAAATTTTGATCTCAGTGACTGTATTCTTCAACTGAAACTACCATAAAATGGTCTCTTAAAAAACCCTACTGTCTCTTTAGCAAGGAAATTCAACCCCTGTAACTTGTACAGTCACAATGATTTAGTTACACCAATTGTAAATATACACCTCAATTGTTCTCCAATGTTAATAATTTCTTGTCTTAAAGTTTTACAGTCTTCTCCTGGCTACATGTATGATCACTTACACCTTTGACCATACAGCTACTGTACTTCATTTTCATGACAGTGTACTCTATGCACTGTGTTCTTAAATGTAGTAGACATGAATACTAGTAATAGCTTGCTTAATATAAGCATAACTTAACATCAATCTTATATTTGCATCAAAGTTTTTACCCTACAAAGTCACACCACCAAATTAAAATTGTAGAAAAAATTAAGAAATAAAACTAAAAGCCAAAAATGCAATTTAAACAAAACTTTGGATACATGAAGCACATATGGCATTGCCAAATTGGTATTACAGTGTAATATGTGTTTTTGAGAAACCTACAAAAACAAAGTGCTCTCACCAATACATTACCCTTGATTCAGCTGTTTTTACAACTTTTGTAAAAGACAAAGTACTACAGAACAATATGGCTGAATTCTTTGGGCCTTCAATTACAAAATTAAAGAAACTACAAAACTGTGACAGCTATAATTCTATCATAACTGTTCCCATAGATGATACACCTACAGTTCCAAGTTTCTCCACAAATGTCCTTAAGGCTTAATTAAGTACAACTGTTACTTAAACTGTGATACAGATTACACAAGAGTGCAAAAGTAAAAGGCATAGAAATAAGATTAAACACATCAAAACTTTCCCTTCATACAATATCATTTCCAATTAAAAAAGTTTACCATATCAAACAATCAAGAAACTATAAAAATGCAAGGAAATTACAAAGCTGCAATGGAAGTTTCAGTTTGTTCAGTACATGTACACGTGTATTGGTAGTAATAATGTGGCATTGTATTGAACATTTTAAATTCAAAATCAGAGCAACGATTTGGACAATGTACAAATTTCAAAGCATCATCCACATCTTTACACAGAATATAAACACATGTAACCATCAAGTATGCACAGGTCTGGTGTGTTGTGTTTATGTTTTTTTAAACATTGGAACTGTTTTTGAAGTAAAAGTGGGGAGGGGGGCACTTAAAAATGCTGCTTTTGGTATTTTGTTATTTATTCTCCTGTATACAAATATGTTTCATAATGTAAAAAATCAATTATCCAGTACAAATATTTGGTATGTTCTTCTTCATAACTTCAAACTGTGTTGAATGAAAATTATGTATTGATACAAGATGAAACATAACACTTCCCTGTATAATCCTAGTCAGAGATTGTCTGTATTGTTGTGTTGTTTTGTGCTGTTGAGGTAGTCAAGCAATTCTGTACTGTGAAAGAAAAATATTAATGACTGACAGTAACTCTATGCGGTATATTAAAACACTGGCAACAGCAATGATCATATAGAAGAGACAGTTTTCGAAAACCTTGAACACTGCAAAATTACATGTACATTGTTGGACTGCAAAATTACATATGCTAACCATACAATTACATACATTTTTCAAGCCCTCCACATCCCCTTTTATTGCATTTTCCTTTATAAATCGCACATCCTACCTTCTCATAAAAAATCCTGGTCACCCCTATTCAATTTTCACATGGAACGGTCATAAATATTTTAAATACAATTATTGGTACTGCATGAAAATATCCAGTCTTAAAGGACTAACATTGTTCTGTTAGTTCTGGTGTTATCTGGTACAAAAAATTAACATAGTTTAGCACTGTCTACTAGTATGTTGGATACAGTTTCAAATCACATCATTGGTATCGTCATTGGCAGTGCAAAAAACTTCTCATGATACTAGTATTGGCTGCATGTATATTCATTTGTCCTTACTAACAAGTGGTAGGTTTTTTTTACCGGCAAAACTTGCTTGAAACATTTTCAAGTTTAACTGTATTCTGAACAGTGTCAAAAGCTAACATAAACAAGAATTGGTTTACTGAGTATCCTGATTTGAACACTTGTCAACGTTTATGCAGTCTTTTTATAAGATTATAATCTTACATGTATACAATATATTTGCACCTGTAATGACTGTAAACAAAGCATTTTTTCAATGTAAAGAAAATACAAAACATATACTCCCTCCCAATTCTTCATTTTGTTCAAATTGTTCTTTTTAGATGTGACTGCAACCCATACCATTTTCTTATTCTTAACCTTCTCCCTGCTGCCTAACCCCTTAAACAGTACAAATTTTGTGCCAAATGGCTACCTTAGCAGGCTGAAGGTCAACTGTTCCAATCAAAGACTTTCCTGTATATAAAGCAATCTCATTCATGAATAAATGTGGCTGTATTTCCATCAAATGTTTCATCACATTTCTATCAAAGTAGCAGTCTTTAAGTACTTTACAAAATGTTTTTGGTCTTTCTCCTGAAAATATCTTTCCAGATACAAAAGCTGACAACCAAATCAATACTGACCTGGCCTAACGTAGGCATGGAATGTTTCTACCTAAAATAATATTTTTCCAGAATCATTTCACGATCAAAACTGTTATAAATATTTCTCACCCAAGCTGCACTCCTGAATTTTCCTACTAAAACACTATATACTTCACCTGCACATCATAGAAGTACATGTAAATCTTACACAACCTTGTACAGTTACACAGGAGACTCTATGACACTTGTTTCTGTTACCCTACCTACAGACAGTCCGTACAGGTCATCCCAGTTCCAGTTTGGCATTAAATGGCAGTGCAAATGTATATCAAAGAGGTACGTTACAAAGAAGAGGGATTCCACCCCAGACTCATAACTGTATGTTCAATATTAAATTGTTTCAGCAGATTTCAAAGCAACTGCACCTGCTTTAGTAATTAGTATATGGTCACATTTGCTGAGCGATATGGGTTATGACAGATTAGCATTCTCCAGTTGTGGATAGGTCTTTCAAATCCAACAGTCTTGTGATATTGTCAACGGTTGCTTCACTATTCTCTTGTGGCCTCACTAAAAAACCTTTGTGACAAAAATATCACACAACAAATGTTACTGCAGCTTAAAGTGAGTCCTTAATTTTTGACAAATCAACCACCATACTCTTCACACTTGAAACCACTGCCACCAGTGTAATGAGAGTTGAGTTCTGTAGCACATTGGCAGAACCTACTGCATCTGCGTGAAACCCAGACATTTGATGGTATTCGCTGGATGTTTGGTTAACATCGCATCAGAATTTTGCCTGTTGCAGACAACATCTTTTCCGACACGGCATTTGAAAACTATAGACAGGATGTCATTGTTAAATACTTGAATACGTTCTGCCAAAGTACTATGCACAATACATTAGAGATTTGCGCAGGTGCAGTACGTTCTGCCGACATGCTGACTTCTGTTATTCATTGGTTGGGATTTAAACCAACGACTGAAGGAGTGTCAGGTATACTGCAAGAGGTAAGGTATGTGTTTCTGTGTTAGATAACATCAAAGATGTAATAAAATATACAAGTCTTTAGACTCCTTCTTGTTCTTCTTCATCTCCATCTTCTTCTTCCTCCTCCTCATCTTCATCATCTTCATCATCATCATCATCACCTGCTTCTCCTCCTTCTTCGAAATCGAATTTCATCCTTTTTCTCCTTCTTTCGTTCTCTTCATCATCATCATCGTCATCATCATCTTCTTCATCTTCTTCTTCTTCATCGTCATCATCATCATCTTCGTCTTCCTCGTCCGAGTATTCGACTGGTTCTGTCGTGGTGTGTTGGAAACCGTCGTAGAATTCCTTCACGGCGTCGACCGCTGCCTTGGCTTCCTCGGCGGGGCCGTTGAGGTAAAATGTGCCGTGGTGTCTGTCGCTGCCCCCTCCCCCTCCCCCCGGCTCCATGGTCCAGGTCGGCGGGATCTTTGGTCGTGCTCGAAGCCAGGCGTACTGGTCTGTAAGAATTGTGGAAGAAACTTTAACCCTCAGAATGCTAAGAGAGCCAATTCGGCATGAAATTTGTATGGTTACAGGGATAGGCAGCAAGAAGAAGGTTAAAAAGACTTTTTTTACCACTGCTCTAACCAAAATCTGTGAATCTCTTCTTACAAAAAATAGGAAAGAAACATTCTATTAATTTGAAAATCAGTAGAGATGTTGACATTGTGGTATACCTCTGTATCACATGTACCATTTTTCTGTTATCTGGTGAAATTTTTAGATGAAATGTCACAAAAATTACTTTATCAGAAAGACTTGAGGAGGGACCAAACTCCTTGTTACTGTTCAACGGTGCCAAGATGCATGATCAAAATTTAATGAAATCATTATCTCAAAGCCAACCAGCCCACATCCACAAAAAAATGATGATTCAGATGAATTTGTCCCCGATCTGATCTTACCGTTTGGATCATCCTTGTTTTGGTATTTCTCCTGAAATCGCTTCAGGTCCTCACCCTTCAGGTCATAGGTCACCGAGAAAGAACTCTGCATCTTCTGACTACCTTCGTACCATCTGAAGATGTCTTCTTTTGTGTGCTCGCCTGGAAAAAAGTTCATTTATTTCAAAACAAATTTTTATTACATCCCGAGAATAATTTCATAAGGATGACAAGAAACTGCATGATGTACAAAATGACTAATAAACTGGTGGACGTACCAACCACTAAGTATCTGATACCAGCCCAGAAAAGAACAAGTAACAGTCATGCCTTCAACTACCAGAGTTAAGAATTGAAGTGTTCAAAACTCCAAGAACTATCGTAGAGTAGAGCTCATTGCCATCAAGCACAGTTGGGGTATCATCACTAGAAAGCTTTAAACAACTCCTGGAATTAAACGACTGTGCAAATAATAGTTGTAACAGGTAGTGCAGTGCAAGCTGCCACTGCGCCGCATGCATACAAAACTGGTGTGTTATGCTGAAGGGCGGTTATACCAGCTGTACCAATACAGGTGCTGATACATGCATCCTTGAACATCCATGATTTTACAAAAGAAAGACACATACAAAAGTGTTGAAACCTACTGACCAGGTAAAAATGTCTGCATTTTCCCGTTAGGAAAGGTGATCTGTAGTTCCTCCTCGCCGTCGTACCAGGTGAACTTCCACTCCTCAGGAAGGTCGCCGAAGTTCTCCTGGATAAACTGGTCGTCATGTCTCAGGTCCATGAACAGGACATCCACACCCTCGTACCTTCTCCTGGCATCTGTCATGTGCTGGGTGATCTGAACAAACAAAAAGGTAACTAGAAAAGTTACATTTGCAAGGCATAATGTTTACCTTCACATGTGGTCTGCTCTGTTAATTCTTACTCAAACACATTTATATATATATGGTCAGATAGGAGTCTAAATCCCTCCTGCTATGAAATTACAACATGATGTAACCCAACATTAGTTACCATGGTAACAGACACAACATCGGTTCAGGTCATTGAGGTCACTGTTTGGAGAACAAGAATAAGAAATGTAGCAAAACAATATGTTTTCCTTCGATAAACATAAATATGGTGTATCACCCTAACAGATCTAACCCGCGGGAGGGCTTGGACTGAGTGTGATGTGGAATACCCCGTGTTGTATTTTATTCATGTCATGCCCACCCAACAAAACACACATTTCAATTCGAAATTTGGCGTCTCTAAACAAAAACTTGTAACAACATAAATTCCAATGTCCAAATCTGGTATACAAATTTTTGAAAGTGGTGTACATGTACTTGGTGCATGCAGAAGGCTTTTGAATTATTCTATGGAACATTTGGAAGCCTAATCTCCAAGCAGATTATATGGTGGCAAGGCAGCATTGGCTAGAGGAGTGTCCATTAGCCACCGAATTCCATAGGAGCAGTGGGTTGTTATGTGTAAACTGTAATTAATCCACTGTATTTAGGGCATGGCATTGGAAGGTGGAGCCCATCACTCTCCTTCCACCATCTTTTACCTCCTCAACTGAAGTCAGGCACACACTTTACACCTGGGTGGAGTGAGGAAAATTTGTCTGATGCAGACAATTTTCAAAGTTAGCTGCATCAGTACAAAAAAAAAAAAAAGAAAGAAAGGATTTTGAGCCCTGGAAAGAGAACACCTCAAAGACATTGAATCCCATCTTGATGTCCTTTATGGCAAGTACATGTAATAATATGTTGGTTTGTGTATTCTGATTATTGTTGATACTAAGTAATAGCGGTATGCTAACATCTTTCAGTTCCACTATTTACCTCCAAAGGTATAGTGAGGTACCCAGATCCACTGTAGTCAGGGTTGGGTATCAGGGCTCCATCCTTCCCTACTATGTAGGTGTGGGTGTCACGGTAGTCACTCCAGGATAGGACATCACCTGGACAGATTCATGCAGAAACAAACAACAGAAAAAAAATCAATTCCTGCAAAACAGGTAATACTACTGTAGTACACCAACAATTATCATTAATCAAAATCAACATAACTTATCACTTAGTGTAGCAAAAGTATATCATAGCAGAATTAGTATAGCAGAATCGTATGTTAGAATTAGTACAGCTGAATTGTATGTTAATCCTTTGTTTTAACCTGAGACCTTGTTAGTGGGACAGACTGTCACACACAGATGTTTGACCATGTATGTAGGACAGGAACCCTGACACCGGGTCCTGACCCTAAACAGAACAACACTAGATCAAATGTACCACAGCCACGCCACCAGCAGTGACTGTGAGGACTGTCTTCCTGCAATTGTGGATCCAAATAAACTCAAACTTAAACTGCTAAGTCAGACCTTTGGCACAGAATTTGTACAGGGTTAGTTTGCGTGTTAATCTTGCCAAAATGGCATTGTTCAATGTGATCTGGAACCAGTTTAGTTGAAATGGACTCAATCAGTGAATACTTGAGCTACTCTTCCACTGGCAGTGAAAGAGAGGATAGAATTGCTACAATTTGTATGCCATTTCATTAAACCTGTGACTGGGTAAGCTTCAGATCCACTAGCTCTTTTCAACAATGTTGTTGTACCCAGAACCATACTTTATCCAAAACCATGCCTGGGGCAAATCTACATTCTTGGATATGCAGAAACAATCCAGAACCGTGCCTGATCCTAACCCTAACCCATTCAGGCATAGAAGTATAGATAGGCATGGTTCTGGATATGATAAATGTACAGTGAACAGTGGACCACCTGTCCTAAGGACTTTCCAGTAGCAGTTGAGTGACACAGCCGGGATTCAAACTCTAGGACATCCAGAGGCAGGGTCGCTAACCACTGGATCATGCATGGTACATGATTAGGCAGCAGGAAACAGAAGTAACCTGCTCTTAACTGCCTCACCCCAAAACCAATGCAAATCTGTTATCAAAGGGCTAACTTAGGAATGAGAGGGTTAACTTAACTCAGACTATTAACATATATAATGTTACCTAGCTGTGGTGTGAAATCTGGAATGTCTGGTACTTTCCCATTGGTTGGTGCAGTTTTGGGTGCTCCCAGGTGCCATTGTGGGACATAGATGTACCTGGCTAGGTCTTTCTCCTAGAAGAGATGAGACAGACTATACATAAGAAAACAGTTACTCAAACAACTGGATAGATTTTGAAAACTGTAAGACATTTCAAGTAGCATTCACTACTTTTCATCAGACTAAGAGAATCTGTATTTGAACAGGTATTTGCCCATAATCCAAATACATTGTACTATGAATTGATGTCTGGAACCTTCACAAACAAAAAATCATGACACACGAGTAAAACATAAATAAGATTTCTTGTCCATTCCCAATCTTTTTAAAGTCAAACTGTATTCGAAGTACAAAATTAGTAACATTGAAATGGCAATTCTAGATCCCATTATATATATGTGATTCTTGAAAACAATGAGTGAATAAAATCAGTCATTTCCATCCATAGCAAATTGCAATTAATTAATTGCTCCTTTTATCATTAATTAATCTATTGTTATCAAACAACATTGGAGTGCTAATCTGCTTTCATAAATGGTCCTTTGTGTTTAATTGTATGAGCCAAATATAATATAATTTCATGATTTATTGTTGTAATGCAAAGAAAATTTCAACTTCAGATAGAAAGTAAACACTGCAGAAAATGAACCTCTAAAAACAATGAGGTCTACCGTGTTGGACAGAAGATAGCTCTAAATTCTAAGACATAGTGATACGCACGTATGGGAAACATAACAGATGATTCATGTCCAGACTGTGCCATAGCGTGGGGGAAGACCCAACGGAATTTCATATTTGCATGACAAAGTCCTAGAGTAACGGTGCAGCAATTCATAACGGCTGATTTTTAAACATTCGAAACAATCAAAAACTACAACAACGCAGAAAAAAACTGATTGCACTGAGTACACAGCTACAGAATAGTCCAGGAGCTTCAAATTATTTTAGCATGCCGTGGTGTTAGATTGAAAGATAGGAAAAAGAAAACAAAATGGGGAGGGGGGCAGAGTGGGGCTACAAAAGGTAAAGAATTCCTCGACAGATTGCGATGTATTCTCGGCCCACATACCAGACGTTCCTTTGCTACTTCCTTCTGGGTCTTCTTCTCGCTCATTCTAGACCGCTAGTTCCGCCCAGGGCCCGCAGAAAAGTTAAATAAAATGGAGGGGAGCTTGTGGCAACAAACCTCTCAAAGTGGGAGTGGTACTCGACAGTGGGGCAATGACCGAAAGTGAACTCTTATTCAAATTACCCGGGGACTATTCTACTCATCGTCAAAAAAGGTAGGTTACTGTTACATGATAACTTTAAAATACCTGCCTATATGAAATATGTATAATTTGCCTTTAACAAAATAATTTGATACATTTATTGATGATTTTATACATATTTTGTGCCACAATTTTACTATAAAAACAATGTTTTATGATATATTTTTTATTATAGCAAAATAAGTGTCCCCTATTTTTCATAAAGTAGAATCGTCTGAGATTAAACCACAAAGTCTCGTGAGTTTTGCGTCATCTCGCGAGAACACCCTCTTGTCCATCATGGCGGAGGGATAGGTTCCACTCGAAAATCGCTTGTTGCTCCCAAATTTTCCTCCGAATTTCTGACTTTACATCACTCTCCGAACGTCCAAGATGAGCGAGCCGGGCCAAGCAGGGACCAGGTTCGCCGACTACTTCGTGGTCTGCGGTTTGGACGTCGCATCGGGCTTAGAACCGGACCAACTACAAGGTACGCCAGCTCTTTAAAAAGACATCGCCAGAAAAAAAGCGTCAAAAGCTGACGGCAGAAAATATCTTTATTGATTTTTTAATCCCCATTTCATGTAATATTCTAGCTTCTACTTACGTTGTCACGTAGGGACGGAACTAATGTTTTGTTAGAATATCAGGGTTATGGCGATTTTGGCTGTCCTCCAATTAAACAACGTACGCCAAAATGTGTAACTCGAAACGCCTTTTCTCTTTGGGTGTAGCGTCCCCATCTGAAGTCCTTGGATTTTGCCCCCTAGAAATGTCAACAACACATCCTTACGAAATAACCGAGGTCTGTTAAAGAATGTAGCCGTGTTTATCTTCAGGTTGTTGCGAAGTCCTGATTTACAAAATCATGCAACAGGGTCCGTTTTCTTCGGTTCTAGTTTTATTTTCACGCCATGTTAGATGATTTCACTACGCAGTTCAGAGGTGTGAAAAATAATCACAATCTTACAATTATCTCACTAAATTGTAGGAATTATCGCTGATATCAATACACATCCCAGTTTCTTCCGTAGACAGACACTTCCTTTTTGCTGACGTGCAGGAAAAATCTAATCCTTTGTGAATTTCTTCCGGTTTAGAAACCAGGAAATACGTGTTGAAACACTAAATAAACATCGCGTCATAAAATAGAACACGTACCTCAAACATCAATATTTTTCTTCCGTCATTTTTGGTAGAAGAATAACCAGTGTATACCAGTGTAGGAATGTATAGAATACACACAAATACACAGTACTGTTTTATTCTTGAGTATAGTTTATTTCTTTGGGATATTTCACACACAAAATAAACAAGATTTGTCATAAAAATAGAACCTGTACCTCAAAACATCAATATATTTACATTTTCCATCCGTGTGCTTTACATAACTAGAAGAATAACTAGTGTGATGCCAATGTAGAAATGTATAGCATACACTCAATTATACACTGTTATTTTGTCTTGATTGTATTTTATTTGTTATTTATATTTCAAAACATTGTCACTAAGCTCACTATTTCCATATTTTTTATTCATTGATCGTTGTTTCTATTCATGTATGTTTGTATTTTGCAACTACATGGGTAATACATGTAGTGGAATTAACAATGAATTTGCAATAAATTTCAGTATATATAGATTTTTGTCATTCAACCATATACTTTTATTTGTTTATTCATCTAGTAGTACTTCTGTTTTTACTACAGCCCAAATATTTGACTTCTTTTCTCATCATTGTATATTTCCTCCATCTCATGACTTACCGGTAGACTAGTTTTTTTCCTAGCAAAAATAAGATAGTATGTTTTGTTATCTCTTAGAAGTATTGTAGCATGATGTATCTATAAGCATAAAGGCATACAAGCAGAATACATGCCATTTGCTACAATGTGAGAGACCATAGATATCAATATTATATAATATATTACTGATATTTTTGTATGTCAATTATATAATGTATTACTGATTTCTGTGGGTTCTATCATTGACATAATGTCATAAGTCCAGCTGTTACATAGAGGTAATACAGTCCTCCATTGTCTTAGAGCTTCTCCAATCTTTACTCAGCTGTGCACTGTAACACTTGCGTGAGGAAACATCAAAGAACAATTGACGTCATATCTTGATAAAATCCAAACCCACGCTACAATATATCAGATATTAATGTATAAAAGAAGGCCTGCATATGTTTCATATCTTTTTAGACGGAACCAAAATTGAAATTGAGTTGTACGTGTTATAGATAAAATTCCAACAGACCATTGGACATTGAAGTACTTGATTTTTAGAGCTTCTTTTTGGAAAGAGACCTTACTAATGTTATTTGTCGTGTGTAGAAGAAAAAGATACAAGTTACAAAGTTTTTTTTTAAATAGCGAGTTAAGTTTTCTCTGATTTCTGAACTTGGTAAAAATAACAATGACATCACTGTAAACTGTAATAATGTTAACAGTTGATATAATAGAAACACACATTTTTGTTTTTATGAAAGCCACAATGGAAAGTTGACATCATATGTTGTGTCATATTTCGTTTTGTTCAACTGTTTTCTCTTTTCAAGTAAAACTAGTTGTCTTGGGTCCATTTATGAAATGAAACCATTGTTCCAGTGACAGGCAAATACCATAGCTTTAGGCTATGATTTTTGTCTTCTTTTTGTGTCAAAATATAAAGGGACACATTCGGAAACCATTTAGATTGCTTGAGGCTGAAACGGAACACACAAGCACAGCTTGTTTCTGTATATAGTCTCTTCCAAATAGTCATCATTTTGTTTTGAATATCAAATTTTGATGCCTTTTATTTAGATTCAACTTGTTACTTTTTTGTTATGACTCGGTATACTACTAGTATACAGTATACTGTTTTGTTGTATGGCAATGTAGGAAATGAAAGACTTATGTTACTAAGCTTGCCAGATTACAAATTGTTTAATTTTTCTGTTGTCTCCAATTTTTTCTGCCAACTTTATTGGGAGCCTTGGCTTGCCATTATTATAAATGGAAATATTTCAGATAGGTCCAATTTCAATTTCTGTACCACGATTAACATTTTTGGTCCTTGCTGACAACATGAAAATGCCAAGATTACAATTGTTAACATACCCAGGGCACTACTATATCATACTTGTCTATTATTGTCTATAGAAAATGAATGTCAGGTCTTTTTATTGGGTCTTAATTGGGCTCGTATATGGATATGTGAGTCTCTCATGGGCCTTAGTGTCATCAATTGATTGATTGCAGTCTTGCCTCAAATGCAAGATTGTAATTTATTTTGAAGAAAATATTGCAAATTTTGTTCCTCAGTAAAACATTTTTGCAATCTCATGCACAGTGCTCAATATAATCAAAGAAAGTTTGTATTAGCAAATATACCATGCATATATTCAAAATATGTAGTTTGTTATTTGCAAAAGTCTGTATTGAAATAGTACTTGTTTTTTGTTAACAATCAATTGCATCCACACACACGTCAACAGTTACTTATGGCTATATGAATGAATGTTGGTAAGTTTGCTGAATTTACTGTGAATACAGTTTACTTGTTATGAAGTCAAAAATTTTCAATCCATCAATTTCATTATTTGGAACCCTTTTGCCTCACAATGCAGATCGTATGCAAAAGTGAGAATCCATTGGTTTTGCTCATTATGCAGCAGAGTGAAATTGTGTACTCATGTGAAAGGGAAAAGTGGTGTGACAAAAAAGGGTGACTCATGGGATAGTCAGCCCCCAATAGGTCAGTCAGGACCCCATAGGTGCCATTGTCATGCTAATGATTGTATCATCAGGGAAAGCAATTAATCAAACACCCCTTAGGACGGTTCCATTTTCAAATTTTTAGGAAAATTTTCTTTATTTTGTAGGGTTTCCCTATTTTTTAAAATTAATTTAACTAATAACTAGAAAGGCCAATATTTGCTTTGGAGCAAATACAGCGATGGGTTCACCACATTTTACCACATGGCAGGGAAAGAATGAGAAACACAAGGGAAAACAATGATTTACATTGATATAACTATAATATGAAGTAACATACAACTAAAACAACAGTTGGATAGCTATTCCCTACTTTATTGGTTAGGATTTTTAATTGCATAATGCAAACTGTTGATTTTCAAAATAAATAAAAAAACGTTCATGCCCCGCATTCCAATGCTGGAGCAGAAAAGCTTGAAATACCTACCAAAACACTTGAATAAAGACATACTGTCAGTATGGAAATACTCTGTGCAGGTATTAATCAAGTTAAATCCCAACAGCCAATCAGCAAGAAATGCTCTGAGCAGGTGGAAATGCTCAGTGTGCAGGTGTTAATCAAGTTAAATTCCAACAGCCAATCAGCAAGAAGTATAGAGGAAAGCTGCATGCCTATTGGTTGATGCCCTGCATTCCATTGTAATGACTCATGCCCAGACGTGGTAAACATGGCACACTAACACAGTAATACATTAGCTATAATACAGCCAAAAAACTCAAATAAAACCATTCTAAAAGCCTGTATCACAATAATTTAAAAAACGCCTAGGGGTATTTGCCCACTGTACCTCCATACCAAATTTCAGGACCTTAGGCCCTAAAATGAAGAAGCTGAATCCATTTAAAAAATGGCAGGAGAAGGAGAAGGAGGAGAAGGAGGAGAAGAAACATCAGAAAAAGCAATATGGTTTCACCACACCACTTCGTGGTGTGGTGAACCCATAATAACAATATTGCATGGTTGACGATGTTATCAAAAAACAATTCAACTTTTTTTTTTTCTACATTTGGAAAAAAATATCTAACATGTCACTGATTTTCTCAGTACATTAGTTTGATTTATTTTGATGTTTGTCACACTGCCACAACCAATTTCACCAATTATGCATTAGTCTAACAACAATCATGGGTTTACAGTGGGCACCATATGGTCACGACAAATGAGTTTTTCCATACCAGGTATTATAATGAGCAAGTACAAATGTAGTTGTAAATGTGTATGAGAGTTAATTTTAATATATGTGTAATATCTAGAGTTTCAGAAGGATAGTTTCAAATTTGTAACAATTCTTACAAAAGTAAAATGAAATTTGGGGGCATGCCGCATGCATTGATAGTAATACTGTGTAATTTTTAAAAGAAAATTGGCGTTTCAGTGGCTCCAACAACATTATGGAAGACTGGTTGAAATTAGGGGTGTAATACGTCCAAGAAATAATGATGATAAGTTAAATGAAATGACTGAAAATGACTTTTGGCTCAAATTATCATTATAATATCTATTGAAAGTTCATACCTACTAATCTACTTATAATACTATAACTGCAAGTTTATTTTGCTGTAGCACCAGTTACACTAAATACTATTAATCTTTTAAACCTTTTCCCCACTGCCTAACCTCATAATCAATAGGGAACTGTTAGCAAGTAGCTACTTCAGTGTGCTAAGGGTTAAGCCTAATTTTGAAACCCTAATGTAAGTAACTTTGTATGCTGTGTTCTTCTTT